TCTGGAGAGCATGGGGTCATCATCATGTCTCTGGGGACTTTGATTGGAGAGCTTCCCCACGACCTCGCTGACGAGATCGCTGCAGCGTTTGCTAAATTACCCCAGAAAGTCATCTGGAGATATATAGGTGGCAGACCAGCGAGTCTGGGCAACAACACTCTGCTAGTAGACTGGATGCCTCAGAATGACCTTTTAGGACATCCCAAGACAAAACTATTCGTGGCTCACGGAGGAACAAATGGAGTCCAAGAGGCTTTGTATCACGGAGTTCCTATCGTAGGACTTCCATTGATTTTTGATCAGCCGGATAATCTACATAGAATAGAAGTAAGAGGAGCCGGGAAGATTGTTGATATTTTTAGCATGACTGGAGACATCTTCTATCAAGGTATCCAGGAAGTCCTGAATGAGCCCTCCTACAGGTTGAACATGCAGAGACTCTCCAGGCTGCACAGAGATCAGCCAATGAAGCCGCTGGACACCGCCCTCTTCTGGATAGAGTTTGTCATGAGACACAAAGGTGCAGCTCACCTGAGAACAGAGTCCTACAGACTGCCCTGGTATTCCTACCACTCTGTAGATGTGATTTTGTTCCTGGCTGGAGCGGTGCTGCTCGTGATGTTCACTTTTGTGTTTTTCATCAGGTGTTTGTGCACTAAAATGTGTAGATCTAAAGTGAAACGTGAGTAAGCATTCAAGGGATACACACTGCCCACATTGATTAAGAATAATGTATCGTAAGTTGATTTTGGGATTAGTATTATAGACTAATATAAGATTTGTTTGTCAACCCATTTGTGGAACCTTTGACATTATGTTGTGTTATTTTAATTAGTTTGATCATATTTCATGAAGTCATTGTATAACTTATTAGAAGTTGAGAACTTTTTCAGAACTAACACTATGAATAAAATACTTGAAATGAATGTCAAATGAGATACATTTCACTGATCAAAGTCAGGTTATTTATGATCTAACCTCTGTCAAAGGTCTTTTTGCAGGAGTAACTATATGTAGCTATAAACATTAACATGCCAGTAAAAGAGATTCACAGGATTTGATTGTTCGGGTCTGATTTATCCTGGAGAAAATAACATGTGTATTTAGAGTAATTAATTTCCTCATGCTGGCTCTGTGTTGTGGGACCTTATTAAACTTCCAACCACCAGGCGGAGCATCTGTATTTGGACACTACTGATGTAGATGAACAATATATATATATTTATTTGATAGGGGAAGTGCACATTGATTGACATTTCTGTAAATGCGCCAGAGTTAGCCAACAGGCTATTTTTCGTCTGTAGTCCCTGGACAGATGTTAAAAGTCATCCTAAAAACAAAAATTCACTTCAAATAACAGGTAAATACAATCAGTAAAACAACATTCAACAGAGATGCTTATATTATGATAAAAGCATATATAAAAACATAAAAACATAAAAACTAAATAAAATACATATTCACAAAGCAGACAGATAGCAACAGGTCAAGGCACATGTACAAACAGAGCGTTGTAAAGTGCAGATTGTGTCAGTGTTGAAAGAGCTGACTTTCCACTAACCATGTTTTTAAGTTAGATTTAAATAAACTGCAGGTGTTTTGTTCTCTAATCTTTACTGGGATTGAGTTCAAGAGAAGAGAAGGACATT